TTCCATAGCAAGAACCCCTTTCATCCTCTTCATCAAATCACAGAGAGAGAGAGAGAGAGAGAGAGAGAGAGAGAGAGAGAGAGAGAGTGAAGTTGCAGAGAAGAAGAAAAAAAAATGCATAGAGAAAGAGAGAGTGAAGTCGCAGAGAAGAAGAAGAAAGAGAAGAAGAAGAATAGGGAACAGGGGGACAGAGAGAAGTCGTAGAGAAGAAGAAAAAAGAAGAAAAGAAAAGGGAAAAGGAAAAGAGGAGAGAGAAAGAAGTATCAGAGAAGAAGAAGAAAGAAGAAAAGAAAAGGGAAAGGAAAGGAAAGGGAAAGGAGCGGAGAGAAAGAGAGAAGTCGCAGAGAAAAAGAATGAAGAAAAGAAAAGAAAAGGGGAAGGTGGGGAGAGAGAGAGAGAGAGAGAAAGAAAAAAGAAAGACTAAAAAGTCACGCTTCGGGAAAAGGGAAAAATAGAAGAGAGAGATGAAGTAGGGTTATGGAATGGGCTTTGAAAATAAAAGGTATATGGGCTTTAAGTTTGGCTTTTAATTTGGGTTAAGGAGAATTGGGCTTAAATATGGAATATTTTAAAATAAATAAATAAAAAATTAATACAGCCAGTCCGATTCGGTCCTATAAAATGTCAAACCGAAACCAGAACCGATTTTAACTGATTCGGTCCAGTTTAGGGTCAGTTTGTTGACTTTTTCAGTCAACCAATTTTTTTCTTGGTTTTTTCTATTCGATTTGGTTCGGTGTTCCGGTCCCGATGCCCACCCATACTTTTAACTAGCTCACTTCGTCTTTTGTTATTTTATTTTTTGTCTCACATTACCTCAGAAATTATAGAATAGTATTTTGTGTCTCACTTTGATAGCGTGACATGAATCTTTTAGTAATTTTACCATTACATATTTTAAAAATAAAATAAATAAATTGATAAATGTGGTTGAGTGTTGGATCTTACCTGCACTTAATCAAATGTAGGATCTTCCCTAAGAGCAAGTCCACCGCCATGGGCTAACTCAGGCAGGAAGGGGCCCTAGACTCAAAAGGAGACTCCAGCGCGCAAGATCTAGCCCTAGCAAAGCGTGGGACCCATGAGCCCATGTAAGTCCACAGGGAGATCTGGCCCGTCTCCTTGCCTTTGGGCTGCTGACATCATCACTGACTTACAGCTACCAGAAACCAACGGCTACAAGCCACATGACTTCTCTTGGAGCCTTCGATCCAAAAAATTTATCAAATCCAATATATGTCCATTTTTTAGCTACAAAAAATTGAAAAAAATCGAAAAAATTTGTAAAAAAATTTCAAAAAAAATTCTTGTTCTATAAATACCTACCAATAGTATTCACTTTCAACACCAAATCTTCATTCAAATTCATCCTTCCAATATTTTTCACTTTCCACACAATTTTCTACTACATTCCATTTGTGTAAAAATACAAATGGCCTCTTCCATCGAAGCCGGAGGCGCGTGGACAACTGTGGAATTTTCTACTACATTCCATTTTGTTGTGTGAGTGTTGGGTCGTAGTTGGTCATTGCCCAATCATGGGCAATGAGATGAAGCCCACTCATATGTGGAGAAAAATTCATGGAGAATTTTGTGAAATATCGGGTTCGGCTTGTACGAAAATTACCTTGGCTAGTAGGTGGAAAATTTTGAACAAAGAGTTAGGGAAATGGAGAGATGCGCTAACAAAAGTGAGGGAGAACATTCGAAGCGGTCAAAATCTTGGCGACGAGGTAAAATATTTCTAAATGCAGTTTTATTTAATTTAATGTCACATTTTTTATATTTTCTTGCATTTCCAATTTTTTTAATAGATTATTCAAGCACAAATGTGGTTTGATGCCATTGGCCAAGATAAAAAAAGTTTCAACAATTACCAATGTTGGGACGTTGTGAAGAATTGTTCGAGATTCAAAATTATTTCCATTGGTCCGACGGTTGTGTTGAATGAGACGTCGCTCCAAGATTCACTGATAACTGATTCGCCATTGGACTCCCCAATGGATCAAGACTTACCAATCCAACATGAGTTGAGGCCTATTGAGAGAAAGGCGGCAAAGGCCAACAGAGGGAGCACTTCGAACACTAAATGTGTAAAAATTATGGAGCAAATTGCTAAGAACAGCGCACTGAGAATTGAGAGAGACTTGAAAAGAGAAGAAGTTGACAAGGCACGATATAAAGCATATGCAATTGAAAGGCAGCATGCACAACAACAAGACATGGAGGACAAAGATAAAAATCATGGCCATGGATACGAGCCATATGTCTCCTGAAACAAAGTCCTATTAGAAGCTAAAATGAAGGGATGTTATGAGAAGAAAGCTTTTCCATGACGATGGACCTATCAACAAGGATTGGTTCAATGATCAGAACCATTAGGTTGTATTGAAAGAGTTGTCATATGTATTAATTTGTTGTATTATTTCTCTTTTATTGAATAAAGAAAGCATTAAATAATATAGCTATTTATTAAAACCATTTCATTCATCAAAACAAACCTTAATTCATTACAAACCACACACAAAACTAAGCATAATTGAAAATAAAGCATAATTAAAAACGAAGCAAAATTCCAAACAAAGCATTAAACTTGACTTCATCCACCATGATTGCCTTTCATCGCTCATAAGTGCTTGATCAAGTCAACTTGACATCTCTTGTGAACATAAGAAGATTGCATTTCCATATAACGGTCAATCATACGATTGTTGAATCGATCATCCCTAATCAACAATTTGTGCTTTAGTGGTTATCCATTTGCTCCCACGGACTGTTCATAAATTCTTGTAAATGCTGTGTTCATGGGATCGGGTTTGAACATCTCTAGGGTATCATAATCATACTAATCCTCCACAATCATGTTATAGAGGATAATGCAAGTCAACATAATACTTCGAAGCATCTCTTCATCAAACATACAGGCAGCACCCCTAATAATTGCCCAACGAGCTTGCAGGATACCAAAACACATTTCCACATCTTTCTTATAACCCTCTTGAAGGCAGCAAAGCTTTTTTCCTTCTCCAATTGGGGATTCATAATTTTTTTGATGAATGTCATCCACCTCTGATAAATTTCTTCTGCTAGGTAGTACCTACCTGAGTATACAATATTGTTGATTTGATACGTGATCTGGGAGGAATGACCTCTCAAGACATTATTGAATACCAGAGATTGACCATGCACTTTGAGGTCGTTTTAAGATCCGGCAACTCCGAAAAAGGCATGTCAAACCCAGGTATCAAATGATGCAACGGCCTCCAGAATTATACTTTTTTGGCCCTTCCTATTCCCATAATCTTCTTGCCAAGCAGTTGGGCAATTCTTCCACTGCCAATGCTTGCAGTCGATATTTCCAATCATGCCTAGAAAACTTTGAGCCTCGGCTTTTTGTAGAAGCCTTTGGGAGTCCCTAGGCGTAGGTTTGCAAAGATAATCCCCTTGTTGAGAGTTTCTATTGCCATATCTTCCATTGATACGAATGAGGTGGTCAATCATGTTGCGATGAATCAACCCATGTAAAAGGTGGATCCGATGTTTAAAAGGAGGATATTCTTTTGTTGAATGTTTAGCTAACATTCATGGTCTCAATTTTGGTTTGTTGGGTTTTCTTTTGGAAACCACCCAATAACCAAAATCGCCCATAGAGTGAAGTTGGTGGGTTTGACCCATTTGATAACTCACATAGATCATTTTAAGTCATATGGGTTATGAGTGCCAAACTTAAAACTCCCTGGCCTATAAATACACAGCCCAGTCTTATAGGGTGTGATCATTGTCCCAAATGACCCAAAACTTCTAGTTGATCAAACTGCCTTTGATTATATCTCTAACAAATAATGCTTGGTTTCAACATAACCAGGTCATTTGTAATTGAAAAGCCCCTATTGTTATCTCTTCAATTCCTTCTATAAAACACCTTCTTTCACTTTTTAGAACATTCATAATACTAGTCTTAAGAAACAAGCGAAATATAAACGTTCTATTTGTCATAATATAAAATGGTATCCCTCTTATGATTATCATTGAAAGCTAAAATTTGATGGTTCTATCCTTCGTGAGTCGGGGCTGGTGCTGTTTTAAGACATTCCAAAGGATGTATTAAACTTGCATGAGCTATTCCTTTTGGATTTTGTTCAATATTGGATCGAGGGGCAAACTTTGCAGCAGATGCTTTAACTTGGGACACAGTAGTCTCAACTACAGCCTAGTATTTGGCCTACACACATGGCGTTAGGCAACTTTGTAGTTATTCTAAAAAAACATGATACTATGTAGCAACACTACCATAGCATAAGTAAATTTTTGCATGTTTCGAGTACACCACATAATTATGATTGTTAATAGTTATTCTAGAACAATCGTGACTTTTCATTTTAAACTTGCATATTAAGTTTTCAATTACTTCTTTAGATCACAAAATCAGTGGTGGAGCTAGTAGCTTGTCTTTAAGGGGGTCAGTACTGTAATTATAAGGTTTTATAGCCTTATATTTCAACTGATATTGCAGCATATGTTTAAGAGTTATTAGCTTTTTTATGAAGCTTAGTGGGGTCACGGGCACTGCAAGCCTGTATGTGGCTTTGCCCATGCATAAAATATAAATAAATAAATAAACTTTTCACTACATCAGTTAAACCATGAAACAAAAAATTTCAAACTGAAACATCAATGGATTCAACGTGCACGTATATTTTTTGCGTGTTTTGAGTCAACCACCAGAATGCAAGACATTAATCAAAACAAAAGGAAAAGTGTCTTCAAAAGTGCAATAAGCAAAATCAATTACTCTCATAATAAATTAAAATATGCGTTACATATATAGAAGGTAAATATACTAAAATAGATATGGTCAACCACCGGAATTTCAGCTTAGCAAGCACATCCAAAACCGCAAATCCAATAACAAACTTTCCCAACGACTAGACACAGCCCCTTCTCTCTGCGCTCCCTCCTCTCTCTCTGTCTCTCTGTGTCTCTGTCTCTGTCTGCCTCTCTCTCTCTCTCTCTCTCCCCCTCTTTCTTTGTCCGTCTCAGTTCTCTGTCTCACTCATGGCACTCTCCCATTCCTGGTTCGTCATCAAAGCCATTAATGGGGGAGCCAAAATCTCCATCACAAGATCAGCTTCATCAAACGGCATCCTCCTCATCCAGAGTCCCACCACTGCCTCCGCCGCTACCCAGCCAACCCTCCTCCCTCCTCCAACCATCCCAAAATAGAAAAAGTAGAAGCAAAGCCCTCCGAGTGTTTCGCTCCGTTTTCCGGTCCTTCCCCATCATCACCCCCGCCTGCAGGATGCCGTCACTCCCCATGGGGAGGATGGACTCCAGCAAGACCGCCTCCCCTGGAACCCGAGTCAGCGGCCTGCTGTAAGGAGATGGGGTCTGGGATGGTGAGGATTGCGTTGGAATGCGAGAAGAGAGCGGATAAGGACAAGACGAGTCTTCTGGACGAGCCGATGTGGACCATGTATTGCAACGGGAAGAAGAGTGGCTATGCGGTGAAGAGGGAGGCTGCGGAGGAAGACTTGAGTGTCATGGAGCTTCTCAAGGCTGTGACTATGGGCGCAGCTGTCTTACCCGGGAAGTCTGAGGTTGAGGGCCCGGATGGCGAGATGGTGTACATGCGGGCCCTCTTCGAACGCCTTGTGGGCTCGAAGGACTCAGCGACCTTGTACATGTTGAGCCCAGAAGGAAATAATGGGCCTGAGCTCAGTATTTTCTTTGTAAGGATATGATAATATATGTGACATTGTAACTTATACTAGGGGAAGGGAAAGAAGTAGACTTATTGTGATTTATGTATGAATTAGGGTAGAAACAAGAATTGTTACCCAAGATAAGACGTTGGCTTAATGAAATGACGGTGAAGGGTGTCTTCGATTCATTTGATTCATCAACAAAGATGCATCTTTCGATTCATTATCTGTTCATTAATTAATGTAGATTGTTTACACTTAGAAAAATTAGATATATTCCAGCCCAGAACTACTCCTGTTGCATATATGTATGTAGCCAGAGGGTCAAGTAGTAACAATGACAATGAGCCACTGCAAAATAGAAGTTGGAGATGTCCAAGTTTGAATAGAGATGGTCAATGGGCTGGGCTGGACTCCAGTTAGGAGAAAGAAAATAACGGGTCAGGCCAAGCTTCATAGGTTAGGCCTGAGAAAGCCCACCGAACTGGGCCCAAATGAGCTTACATTGTTTTGTCTTTTTTTTCTTTCCCTTTTTTTATAAAAAGTTTATAGTTCTATTTTTCGTTGTCTCTATGTTGATGTCTCCATTTTTTTCATGTTCATAGTTCTCTTTTTTCCTTTTTAACAAAATCATATTTTATCTCCTTCTTCTCCATTTTTTAGTTCTTACAATCATAATGGATAATGATTTCTTTATTTTAATTTAACTTGTGTACGTCGCCGTCAAATCTCTCTCCACCAAGGCCACCTTCCTAAGCGCCTCAACCACGGCCTTTTGCACGGCCCAGTCCTCATTGCTTAAAAACTCAACTACGCACGGCATAA